ATGGGTGAGAAAATTCCGTAAAGAATGGGGAATGTAATTCTAAGAGATGGCAACCTACATAGAAGGGCCTGGGTCTTGGGAGCGGGGAAGGCCATTCTATCTTGGGAGAGGTTGACCCAGTATGACCCCCATCACGCTGAATTTCCAATGGCCCCCATTCCTTGACCTCCTCCAACAGCCCACCAAAACTTGGCCTCAAAGATCTTCTGCTTATGCTGCAGAGACTGTGAGGAGCCCCACACCATGGACGACTCCAAGGTCCCCAGCCAAACCCAAGAGCATCAGCCATCGAACTACAGTGGGTACCAGACAGTAACAACCCCCCCCAACCCAGACCTCTCTAGACCTCCTTGTGTTCCTCCCCTTCTGCTGAGATTCCCTCAAATGTCCTTCAGCTTCTGAGTGCTAATTCCAACCTAAAATCAGATGGGGGCTTCCTAACCCAAACCCGTGAACAACAGGCAGGGAGACCCGTGAGGTGGTAAGGACAGTCCCATTAAGAGATGGAGCCATTCAACAGCAGGAGAGAAATTCTCGTGACAAATTTTGCCAGAAATCCATCCGGAGGGTCTTTCAAATACTCCCCCTGGAAATAATCTCACAATAAAAACCCAGAACCTTAAAAATGTCAATCCCTTTTTCCAAGTCAATAACCATGCTGGTGACTGAGCCCCTATTATGTGCAAGGCACGTCTAGGCATGAGGGACCTGGCTGTGATCAGGTAAGTCCCCCCCGCTGTTTCAGAGCAGACACAGGAGAACAGCGATATGATTTGATCCTCACAATAACTCTAAGAAGGGGACGTGATTACCCAAAATGGATGTGTCATTTTGCAGCTCTGAAAACAGGTATAGGAGGGAAGCGATTTGCTGTGGTTATGCATTTAGTAAAGGACGGAGGTATTTGTTACAGGATACAGCTCAATCTTTTGCTCTACTTTTAAGAATTTAGAAGTCTGTATTAAAAAAAAAAAGTCTTCTGTACAACCACATTCACCGTAACAGTATTTATGTAGTGAAAACAACCTAAACACCCCCCCCAAAAAAAGGAATATTGGTTAAATGACTCTTGAATTATCTGCAAAATAGAATATTCTACAACCATTATTTCTTAAAATTTAGTGACATGAGAAAAATGTTTCTGATACATCGTATATGGAAAAAAAGTAGAATGTATACGTGACATGTAGGATATAATGGGTTCTGTAAAAATATGCACAAGAAGGGGCTCCTGGGTGGCTCAGTGGGTTAAGCCTCTGCCTTCAGCTCAGGTCATGATCTCAGGGTCCTGGGATCGAGCCCTGCATCGAGCTCTTTGCTCAGCAGGGAACCTGCTTCCCCCTCTCTCTCTGCCTCCCTCTCTGCTTAATTGTGATCTCTCTCTCTCTCTGTCAAATAAATAAAATCTTTAAAAAAAAATATGCACGAGAAAAGATGGGAACTGTGATCACATCTGAAGGAATGGGTATTTGGGGCATTTCTATTTCTGCTTCATACTCTTCGATATTTTGTAGCTTTTCTGTAATATCCATTACAGATATGTACTCACATTTATAAACAGAGGAAAAGGTAAACTTCATGTTTTGGAAAAATTGTATATTACGTTGAACCCAGCACGTGTGTATGAGAACAAACACTCAGCAGACAGGGGGAGGGAGACCCAGGTGGCCCCCACCCCATCAGAACCACACCTTCACCTCCGTCACCTTTCCTGACCCTCCCCGCCTAACGGTGTGGAATTATCACCATCAGGCTTGCAGAAGGGGGAGCTATCCAGCAAGAGTTCTAAGCATGCTAAGGAAGCCTCCAGCTTGCCTTTGGGACAACCTCTGATCCACCCAGAAAAGAGAGCCTCTTCCACCAGCAACAACGAGTATGAAGGTGAGTCCCGAACAGGGGTCCTAACACAGACCAGGAACCCCCATGGTCCCGATGACTAAATCCCATGATATGTGAGCTAAGCCAAATGGGGTGATAGGAGAGACAGGACCACTCCCACCAGGAAGCTGCGGTCATATTCTGAGACCTGCCTGTGTAATCTCCCGAGCTAGGAATTACATGAGGAGCTGCAGGTCTGGGAGGAAAGGACACATATCCAGGCTTCTCTGCTAAGCTCGTGTCTGCACTGGCCACTAGAGGAGAAGTCCCAGGAAGACAGCTGAGCGTCCCCAAACCCAGCCAGGTGCATGCCAGAAGATGCTTGTGGACTAGAGGGTAGTTCAGCAGGGGACAAAACACCTCAGGGTCATGGAAGAAGGACAGAAGCCCAGTCCAGGAAGAAAAAAAAAGACCACATGGTTGTGCACCAACACTACTTGGGTGACCCGGCTTAGCTTACCAGCACCTTGGGAGGCCGGCCTCTGAGAGCCAAGGACCAGCCCCACGCAGACATCACAGAATTCTCAAAACAACTACACCTCCCTTGCAAACAGTTTCACATAAAGTCCAATTGCAATTAAAGTCCAGAGGGGTTTCTCCTGCTCTTGAATCCAAGGTAGGGCCTTGGAGCCCCACGAGCTCCGCCCCTCCCTCCTTGTGCCTCCCAACCCCCACAGGGCTCCGTGGAACAGTTTAAAAACCCACCTTCCATTGTATAGAGAAGACTCGGGCCCACAGGGAAAGGGACTTTCCAAAAGTCCATCGGGAAGTAAGGTTGGTGTTAGAAGCAGGATGGGCCCGTTTCTCTCCCTTCCCAAGCCACTGTTCTTTGAAAGTCCCCTGGTCTTCATTGAATACACCAATGAACCTCATGGACACGTGTACCTGTCACAAAGGACTTCTGAGTCCCAGCCTGGGGTCCACGTGGCTCACCCAGTATTGCAGAATCTGATCGTGCTCAGGGCTAGAGGTGACCAGGATGGGCCATCCAAGCCCAGTGCAAAGTTTCCACCCAGCATCATAATTTCTTCCTTTCTTCTTTTAGAATGGAATACACGTGTGTGCCCAAGAGGTTTTTACAAGAGAAACCTAAACCGCTACTCTCAGGACCACTGGCCATTCCAGCCATGCCACATAGGGAGACCCTGACCATTCTAGTCCGCAGCTCCCAGGCAGGCCTCCAGGACTGCATGCTGCTGGAGGGGCTCCGGGAGGAAGGGGGCGGTGAGCGGGGGCCATGAAGACAGATTCAGAAACTCCCACAGAGGAGGAGAAGACGTCTGAGCCACCTCTGAGCCACCAGCAAGAATTCCTTCGGCTCCTGAAAAAGCCACTGTGGGGGGAGCTGCCTCCAATTAAAGCCCTTGGTGATATCACGGGACTGTGTCTCCTCCTCCCCCCTCCTCACCAGGGAGTAGCTCTTTCAAATGCCTTACTGTTTTTAAATACATGGTCCCATCTAACTAAGCTAAAACAAAACACTTAAGCCTTATGGATAGATTTTTTTTCATCTTGAAATTATCTTTTTTTTAAGATTTTATTAGAAAGAGAGAGAAAGCAGGAGCAGAGGGGCAGAGAGGGAAGCAGACTCCCCACTGAGCAGAGAGCCCAACAGGGGCTGGATCCGAAGACCCTGGGATCATGACCTGAGCTGAAGACAGACACTTAACTCACTGAGCCACCCAGGCGCCCCCCGCTCCCCCATTTTGAAATCATCTTGAACTTACGGGAAAGTTGCAATAGGGACAAAGAACCCATTTACCTTTTACCCAGATTTCACAGTTGTTTACACCTCCCCCACTTGCTCTAGACTGTCTTTTCCCTCTTCCTGTTAGTTTTTTCTGCACTACGTGAGAGCGAGTGGTGCACATCAGACCCCACCGCCCCCAAATACTACAGTGTGCATTTCCTAAGAACAATGATATTCCCTTACATAACTTCAGGACAGTTCTCGAAAACATGAAATTCAACACTGATATACTATTATCATCAATTGCCCCCCAATGTCATCCAGCTACTTTGAAGCTCAGTACAGGATCAAATCCAGTATCATGCGTCCCATGTCATCATGTCCCCTCCGTGTCTTCTAATCTGGAACAATTCTGTCCTCCACAAGCTCCCCATTTCTGAAGCACACAGACATGATTGTCTTATAAAACATCCCTCAATTTGTGTTTGATATACCAGTTTTGCCTGTGTGGCAGAAAGGCCACAGAAGGGACACTGCATCCTCCCCAGTGCATCCTATCAGAAGACACATGGTGGAGGTAGGTCCTGCCATTGGTAACATTAACTATATCTCTTCTTTAAGGTGGTTTTTGCTGCCAGCCTTTTCCACGGCAAATGACTGTCCTTCCCTTTGGAATGAATGAGTCATTTGGGGAAAGATTCTGTGAATCTCCCATTGCTCATCAAACTTTCACTCACTAGTTTGTCTAGAACCCCCTCTGAGAAGAACGTGCCCAGCTAGCATACTATTCTAGGATAGATAAGAGATCCATGAGGCAGGACCACCGAGCCAATCTGATGGGCATGGTGGAGATCACGGCATTGCAGACAGAGGGAAGGACCACTGGAGAGAGGATCCACAGTCCTCCCCTCCTCCCTGATGTTGTGGTCCAGACAAACCCCTTTGCTCCCAGCATTCCCTGGTTCACTGGCTCTGTGACATCACAGCCTCCTCTCTGCTCGGCCAGCTGCAGGTGAGTCAGCCTCAAAGGTTAGATCTAAGACCAGAAGGGGGTAATTTTTTCTGTACTTAAAGGGACAATGTCTCCATCACTCCTGGACACCTTTGCTATAGGAAGCAGACACTACCCCTAACTTGCCTTGACCCCACGGTTTGTCTCTGAGCCCCAGCCTCCCCACTTGTGCTGAATGAGCCCTAGGGGCTCCTCCAGCTCCAGAAGCCCTCCTGTTGGACTTTGTTGGGTCTTTCTAGGTCTGGCCCAAGTGCTATGAGTCACTGGACACCTGAGGTTCACAGTCCACTGGGCATAACCCAAAGGCCCTTTTCTCTGGCTCCTGTCTCCATCTAGGGGCGGGTAGTGGTAGTGCAAGCAACATCGCACCCACCCTGCCCCAGCCTGCTTCTCTCCTACATCATCCCCCGCCCATTATGAAACACTTACCACGTGCCAGACACTGAGCTAAGCTCGTCACACCTTTACACCACCCAATCCTCACACAACATTCTGCGGTAGGTTTTACCATCCCCATTTTACAGATAGGAAAGCTGAGGTTCAAGGAGGTTAAATTGCTCTAAATGACCCAGCAAGGTGAGGCAAGAATTACATTCCAACTAATCTCAGTAATAAAATGTATGCTCTTAACTGCTACACTGCTCTGCCGAGCTTCAGGGGAGCCTTTCCCCTTAAAAGCCACCTGCTATCAACTCTCCGGGAAGGAGATGGTATTTCTGAACATCTCTCTGCCCCTGGAAGTGCCAAGGTGAGGCCCTGGACCACAGAGCCTCAGGAAACAGACAAAACTACGTTAAAACCCCAGCTGCTCCTCTTGACTGTGAGACCCAACAGGCACTTTCATGGGGCTCCGTTCCACCATCTGAAAAGGTAAATGAGCTCAGAGATGTCGAAGGACCTGCCCTAGAAGCACAGTGAAGGTCAGCGTCTGGGACCCTGTGGCTCTTCCTTCTGCCCTGTTAACTTCCCACCGGGGACAATGAGGTCAGTACAGAATCAGGATGTTTCTATCCATTTCTATGAGCAGGGAGTACAATGTCTGTTAGCGGAAGGGACAGTAGGGATAATGGTATGTCTATCATCCAGCAGTCAGAGAGGGCTTGTGTGTGGACTCCGGTCACACTGAGAGAGCACTCACTCCATGCAAAGCCCTGTGCTTGGTGCTGGGATGCAAAGGTGCATTGGACGCATCCCTGCCCCTCCCCCCCGAGAGCGAGAATCTCTCGCTCACGTTCACTGCCATGTCCTTCACCTAGTGCCTGGCACCAGTAGTCCTCAACAAATACATGCAGGACAAGTTTTAGCATCACAGACTGGAGTCTAGACTCTCACAACTAAGCAGCTAGTGAAAATCGTGTCCAGTCAACAAATATTAAACATCTGCTAAGCGCTGAGGTAGGATCACAATGCCTTGATGAATGACTGAATGTGGAAGGAAGGGGAGGCAGAGGCCAGTGTGGGGGGGGGGTCCCCTTCTCTGACTCCACACAAAGTGAATAGTGGGACCTGATCCCCAAACGGGGGACATGGGAGGGAAAGAAAGACTTTATTTAGGGGAAATAGGGGAATAAGTAGGGAGAAATAAATAGGGGAGATAGGCCTAAATAGGGGGAGAAGGCCTCACGAGAAAAGGTGACCTCTACTCCAGGCCTTGGAGGAGGGGAGGGATGACCTTCCATGGATCTCCAGGGAAGGTCATCCCAGGCCAAAGGAGCAGCTGGGACAGAAGGAAGGGGAGGGTGGGAGGAGACAGCAGGGGAGGGGTGGGTGAAGGTAGCGCTGAGATTATAGATTTTTTTCAGGGGAGGATCAGAGAAGGACTTCAACTTTGATTCTATGATCTGCCACGGGGAGACTTCGAGCAGAGGTGAGACATGACATGACTTACATCCTAAGAGAATACTGCCATGCTGACACTAATGAAGACCAAGGCGGAAGAAGCGGGGACACCCGTCAGGAGGCCATTGCAATGACCCAGGTGAGACAGGGTAGTGGCCGGAAGAGGTGAGAAGTCAGTGCCCAAGGGGGAGGCCCTGGAATGAACCCAACGTGCAGGGAGAGGATACAGCCACCGTGATGGAAATTCCCCGGAGTGGGTCTTTGGCTACAGGGAAAGGGAGATGAGAACAGGAGAGGACCAGGGGACTAGAAGAGAGAAAGAAGTTTGGGAATAAGACAAAGATGTGCAACTTTGGGTCATCAGAGCTTGGAGGTATCCTTGGAGAAATGGTGCAGCCCAACCACTGCTTGTTAGATGGGTGCCTAGGCCCAGAGATAGACATGGATAAGCCCAAAGCCACATAGCAAATTAGTGGCAGAGCCAGGACTTGAACCAGCGAGGTTGAGCTGTGTTATCAGCTGATCTGCTGATTCAACAAGGCACCCGTACAAGACAAGACTGGCAGGGTCAAGGCTCCAACTCCTTTCTATGGGTAAGACAACCATGGACAAGAGAGGAAGACCTGGTCAGACATAGGTGGGCCTGGACATAGCAGCCCCAGGGAGCTACAGGAGGTTTGGGAGGGGAAGGGGCTTGATACCTTGGGAGAGGCTGGCCCTGTATGACCCAGTGCTTAAATAACAATGGGCTTCTGGGATTGGGGCTACAGAGTCAGACGCCCCAATGCCCTTTCCTCTTCCCACAGCCCATCAAGACATGGCGTCAAAGATCTTCTGCTGTTGCTGCCAGACCAGCGAGGAGTCCTCTACTACTATTGTCTCACATAGTACAAGAATATCCCAGCAGCCTCAGCCACGGACCTTCAGTAGGTCCTGGGAGGGGACGTGTGGTAGCAGGCGAGAACACCGGACTTCCCTCACCGGGCTTCGGTCTCCCCAGCCACCCCCTGCTGGGACACATCAGATTTCTTTCAGTCTTTGAGGGGTGTGGGACTTGTTACCCAAGCCCGTAGCAGTGTAGCCTAATGATTATTTATTAGATATGAGATATTACTTAAGCCCACTGGTGTTGGTCCTACACACTAGTTAAATTCTGCCTCAGCCCCTAGCTGAACTTGAGCATGTCTCTGACCCTCTCTCTCTGACCTTCAGCACTCTTCTTTACAAACTGGGGAGAATACGAGTACATTTCCTACCTTTCAGGCTGTTGAGAGGACGAGATGAGCCAACCTACAGACATGCCTAGAATATGGCCCCATAGGGAGAAGGCACTCCACAGACACCGACTGGCTATGTTCTGGGCAGGTCCAGCGAGGCTCTGCGGATGTAACAAGTAACCACAAAATCTCTCTCGCTCAACCCAACTTGGGGTGTTTTTAGCTCCAGCAAGCAGAACTTCTTTGTTTTTTCTTTTTTAAAGCCATCCATAACATGAGCAGTCCCCACGTGGGATGTGACCCAGACTGTTCATCTACCTGTAACCCAAAGCCTTTACCGAGGATCAACCTTTTCCTTCCCCCTTTCAGATCTGAACACGAATCCTCACAAGAATGGTCTCCAAAAGAGATACGTACAGCACCCCACCAACAAGTGGATGCTGAAAGCGTGCAATCTCAGGAGACCCTGAGGTTTCTAGAAGGCGGCCCCCATGCTGTGCAGCTGCCTGAGCGGCTCCTCCGGGAGGAAGAGGGCGGTGAGCAGGAGCTATGAAGATGGATTCGGAAACTCCCCTGGAGGAGAAGACATCTGAGCCACCCCTGGCCACCACCGAGAGTCACTGCAGCCCCTGCATGAGGAGCTGCGTCCAATTAAAGTCTCTCATTGCATCGAAGGACTGTGTCCCTCCTCCTTTCCCTTCCCCCAGCCCTGCTTCCAAGATTCCTTTGAATGTGGAGCAATTAGAACCAGGTAGCTCTTGTAAAAGAAATGTGGTCTAATCATTCTCAAACGTTCTCCGTCACTCCTAACCAACCTGGCAAGGAAGTGCTTAGGAGAGGCCAGGGAGAGCTAACAGGTGGCTCTAAATGGACACTGTAATACATTTTGAGAGCTTGAGGGCACCACTGTCATCTGCTATGTGACTCCACTTGGTGCTCAGGGCTGTAGTGAACAGTGGGGCAGGTTGTGCACAACTCTGTGACCGACCAGCAGCCCCAGAGTGATGCATCGCTGGTGCAGAGCGACCGAGATGTTTGTGGAAACGCAGAGCACGCAAACACTAGTCACATGTCAGCAACCCCACGTGGCTCCGACTTCAGCCAGCGAACCGGCACAGAAGCATATCACCTCAACCTAACAGGACAATCGGGGGGAGCAAAAGAATGGGCAGCATGTGACAACCAAACTTGGGGTTTGGGGGAAGGTTTCCTGGAAGAGATGGCTGCTTGAGTTTTCTGAGCATTGAAAGGGAATTCACCAAGCAAACAGGATGGGGGATGGTATTCCAGAAGGAGGGAACAAAATCAACGAAGTTGGAGAACAGAGGCAGAACATGGTAGGGTGTGAGGGTAGCCACCTTCCATGTTTGGAATGACCTGAGTAAAAGCCTGAGCCAGGGTGGGGTGGGAGGGAAGCAGGGCAGGGGATCATTAAAAGCTCCCTGGGAAGGAGGTCGGACCCTCTCCTGAACATGATGGGGGCACCACAGATGAACAAAATGACATAGCCCTAGTTCTTATTTTTGTAATATGGACACGGTGAGTTGTTAAGAAGAGAGCTTCTCTGACTAGCTCTCCCTGGGCCGGTCCCCACCTCAGAAAGGACAGAAAGAAAATAATGTCTTATGCCCTAGCACTGCGGACAAAAACGCATGCCTACAATGGAAAGCCCAACCTGGCTGCAATTTAAAGGATAGAGATCTGAAGGAGCATGTAAAGTCTGCTTTAGTGACTGCCATGTCACTGCTTCTTCCAAGTGCTTTATAAATATCCACTCCCCAAGCATGATAAACCAACAAGGTTAGTACGAATAGGGCGCTGGTTTTACAGACTAGGAAACCGAGACACGAAGAGCTTACAGAAGTCTCTGAAGGTTACACTAAAAGCAGTGGCACAGATGAACCTTGAACCCAGGAAGCCTGATTCTGGAGTTGACCCTCTGAACCAGTTATGCTGCCCTTCACAGTGACGGGGGAGTGACATCCAGGCATTGCTCTTGGCTCCCAAATGGACTATTGACATTATCTGCTCTTTGAATAGGGAGCTGGGCCCTGGAGATCTTTTTCCTTCAGCAACTGGTGCAATGTTAATCTTTGTCAGTAGGAGGCGCTGGAGACACTGGAGGAAGAAGGGCTTTCCCTCCTGGTTCTGGTGCTCATCTTAGCCCGCTCCTGCAGCCCACACTGTGCCTCCAGTCATGTGGTTTTGGTCGTGCGTGTGGCTTCCCGAGCACCCAGTTCCTGCTGTGCAACAGCCTCCAACATCAGGTTCCTGCAGTGAAGACAACTTTCCAGCACCCAGATCCTGCATGGTGGTAAGTAGTGCTTAGCAGGTCAACACCTTCTCCTAGTGCCCACCAACAAACTGGGAAGTCCCTCCTCTCTGTGATAGCTTTCCCTGGCTCCTTAAAGTGTAGATTTCTAGAACATTCTATCAACTCAGTAACTCAGAGATTTCTCTGCACCCAGGAAGCCACAGCTATGTCCTTCCCAACAAGGTCCAGATATCAGCTGGGGACGGGGTGTGGAAGGCTCTCCCTTCAGGGTTGTTTCCACCCAAGGCGGTGGCTGGGGCGGGGGGGGCTAGCTGTTCCTCCCACATGCTCTTCTATATTCTTTGGCGTCTCTTGACTTCTTACCTACCCATCCATTATTCGACTTCCCTCTTACACTTAAACATTCTTTCTACCGAACTTCCCATATTCAAATGACCATGTAGTTTTTGCCTTCTGATTGGACCCCAACTGCCACAAACACCTCAGGAGAGGAGGCCAGGGCAGTCAGCCAGTGACATGGCCTGAACTAGGCCAGCAGCCCTGGGATGGAGAGGAGAGTCCTGAGTTACAGTCAATTTCTCAGGCAAAGCTGGCCAGTTCCTAACTCAGAACCACACAGAGAAGAAGATTCTGGGAAAGGAGGTTCTGGACTTCTTCTGCCACCCAGAGAACTGAGATGGGAGGTGGGCTTGAGGCCAAGTTGACAGCACACGGAAGATCATTTCATCCTGCCCTAGGTCAAGATGTAAGAGCCTATGGGATGTCTAGGGGGCCACCACCGGAAGGAGGCTGGAAACACATAGCCAGAAAGGATAAAAAAACAATGGCGGAAGGAAGCAGGAGGGCTTGCGAACTGTGTGCGTAATCAGTTCACTAGGCTCGAGCTCCTGTTCCACTAGGGGAAGACTCCCCAGGAGCGTCAGTCAGGTGGAAAGTACGCTCCCCTGGGGCCTCTTTATCCCTGGTCCTCTTCTGCTGCCAGTTGTCGCACTGCACACCCAGGACCCACCCTCTGAACCAGATTCTTATCCTATCCGTTCCTCCCCACCTGCCTGCCATGCCAAGGGCTCACCCTGCTTCCCCAGGGAGCCACCAAAGCACTTCCTGCTTTGATCATTTAGAAGGTCTCCCCAGAGGGATGAGAAGGGGCTCACATCTTAGGGGCTTATCAGAGGGTTCATGGCCTCAGGGTGATCTCTTTCTTTGAAGGATTTTCAAATAATAACAGTAAAAATAATAACAGACCCCACAGCTGGATTTGACCTCTGACTGTGGCAGACTAGCTTGTATCAGACCAACCCTCCTGCTGAGAGCAGCTTAAAAAGCTGTAGTTTGGCGGTTTGTTTGTTGTATTTTTTTTAGTTTTCTTACATCTGTTTGAATGCATCAGAGAGCTCCCAGTGCAGTGAGGAGTTGGACCAACGTCCTGGAGAGAAAGGAAGTACAGAGGGATGAAATACAAACTGAGTGTCCTGACCTCCTCGAGACCTGCCAATTCCTAAGCAGAGCCTAAGAGGCCAAAAAGCTGGGTGAACCTTCAGCAGACTCACAGATTGGGGTAACCAAAATTGGAGGTTGAGGGCTCACCCTGCAGGAGGAATTCACTCTAAAGGAGAAGTCCTGGTTATAAAAGTTTAAAGAACAAACAAACAAGGAAGAAAACAGGTTTTCAGTTAAAATCCCTGAAGGGGAAGTCAGGGCTATCCAGAAATAGACCAGGCCTTACTAAGACTGAAACCCGGAGTCAAATCTATCCCAGCCCTACTTTTCTCAAAAGCAAAAGTAAATCCACTCTAAAAGAATACCCAAAGTCTTGTGTATCTCTTCAAATTGTTCAGTTTTTAAAAAGAGTCTAGCGTTCAACCAAAAGATACCAAGAACATCAGAAGATCAGAAAAGACCGGGGCACCTGGGTGGCTCAGTGGGTTAAGCTTCTGCCTTGGGCTCAGGTCATGATCTCAGGGTCCTGGGATCAAGCCCTGCATCAGTCTCTCTGCTCAGCGGGGAGCCTGCTTCCCCCTCTCTCTATCTCTGTCTTCCTCTCTGCCTACTTGTGATCTCTGTCAAATAAATAAATAAAATCTTAAAAAAAAAAAAGAAAAGAAAAGACCAACTAACTGAAAAGCAAATGAAACACCTTTCATCGAAGAACCAGAAACTGGAGTCAGCAAACATCCACTTTAGCATATTGAAGAAAGGGGCACCTGAGTGGCTCAGTCGGTTAAGCATCTGCCTTTGGCTTAGATCATGATCCCAGGGTCCTAAGATCGAGCCCCGCATTGGGCTCTCTGCTCAGTGGGGATCCTGCTCTTCCCTTCCAACTCCCCCATGCTTGCATTCCCTCTCTCCCTCTCTCTCTCATAAATAAATAAAATCTTTTAAAAAAGTAACTAACTAAATAAATAACATACTGAAGAAAATAGGTGACAAGATGGGTAATTTCCTCCGAACACTGTAACCTGTATTAAAAAGTCAATTAAATATTTTAGGACTGGATCCCAGGCAAGCTGAAATGAATTCAACTGAAAGGCTTAACAACGGATGGTAACACAAAGGAGGGCGGGAGGAATGAGGTAGAGAGTACCAGTAGAAAACATTCAGACTGAAAAAAAAAAGAAAAAAGAAAAAAAGCCAATGTTCAGGCTAAATCACAAAGAACCAAAAGCATGGGAAACGCCAAGAGCCATTGAGCTTTAGAGAAAAGGGGTCGGACACATGGCAGGAGAGATGAGAGAGAAGGAGGCCGAAGCTACAACAGAAGAAGCCAGGTCAGGGATTCCAGATGCCTGGGGAGCCCCAGCAGGAGAGAGAGAAAGGAAGCTACACCTGAGTGCAGGCACCACCCCTGTCCAGGCCCCCAGCAGACAGCAGGTCTGAACCGCATGGACAGAGAGCTGAGTTTGCAAATGCAAACAAGGAAAGCCAGGGACATCTTCCAAAGCTGGTGTGGTTGTGGGGCTTTTTTGACATCTTCCAAAGTTTTAAAGAAAATAGCGTAGTGCCCTAGAATTCTGGAGGCACCAAGATTATGTTTCAAAAATCAAGACAAAACAGAGGCTTTCTGGCAAACAGAAACTCCACCTGTCACCCGAGGATCTGTTCTGGAAGGAAAATGCCAAAGGTAGTTCTAAATATATGCAGTGCTCTCCTGGACTAAAGAAAAATTCCAAAAGTAGCTCCAGGAAAAGGAGAAGAGTCATGGATACATGTGTGGAAATGCAGAAAGAAACAAAGTAAGAAAAAGGTAACAGATAAAGAGTAATGAAAAGTAAACACAGGGATAAATCTAAATGAGTATTGGCTATGAGCTACATAATAATGTCTGTGGTGGTGTCAGACAGAGAACCAAGGGGTGCCTGGGTGGCTCAGTCCGGTAAGCATCTGCCTTCAGTTCAGGTCATGATCCTGGGGTCCCGGGATTGAGCCCCACATTGGCTTTCCCCCTCCTCTGCTTCTCCACCTCCCACCCTCTTGTGCTCGCTCTCTCTTGCTCTCTTTCTCAAATAAATAAAATTTTTTTTAAGAAAGAAATACCTTTTTTATTTTTTTAAGATTTTATTTATTTATTTGACAGACAGAGATCACAAGCAGGCAGAGAGAGAAGGGGAAGCAGGCTCCCTGCTGAGCAGAGAGCCCGATGCGGGGCTCGATCCCAGGTCTCTGGGATCATGACCTGAGCTGGAGGCAGAGGCTTTAACCCACCGAGCCACCCAGACGCCCCTCAAATAAATAAATAAAATCTTAAAAAAAAAAAAAAGGCAGAGAATTGATTCTTTTTAATCCCACATGTCCACAGGAGGGGCACCTTAACTACAAAAACACAGATAAACTGAAAGTAAAAGATGCACAAATATATACTGTGTAATCTCTAATCCAAAGAAAGCTAATGTGTCAGACAGAGTAGATTTTAAGGCAATAATCTAATAAAGATAAGGAGGGACACTGTATAAAGACAAAAGGGACAACCCACTGGGAAGTTCTAACAACCCTACATTTGTCTGCACGTGACAACAGAGCGAAACTTGTCGGAAGTGAACTAAGAGATATGTTCACCTAAAAACATATACATAATTGTTCACAGCAGCATTATTCACAGAAGCCAAAAAGTAGCAACAACCCAGCTGAAGAAGGATAAACAAAATGGGATATAGCCATGTAATGGAATATTATTCAGGAATAATAAGGAATTAATCGTTAACCATAAGGGATAATGACACACGCTATAACATGGAGGGATCTTGAAAATATCGTTACTGCTTAAAAAAAGGCTGACACAAAAGGATATAAGGGTGTGATTTCATTTATAGGAAATGTCCAGAAGGGGAAAATCCAGAGACAGAAAGCAGATCAGTGGTTGTCAGGGCTGGGGAGAAGGGATACAGGGAGTGCCTACTAATGGGTATGGGCTTTGCGGGGGGAGGGGCAAGGAAGGTGATGAAAATGTTCTAGAATTAGATAGTTGTGATGGTCAGGCAATCCTGTGAATATACTGAAAACCACTGAACTGCATACTTTAAAATGGTGAGTGCTGGAGGGCGCCTGGGTGGCTCAGTTAAGTGTCAGACTCTTGGTTTGGGCTCAGCTGGTTCTCAGCGTGATGACATCAAGCCCTGCACTGGGCTGCTCCTCAGCATGGAGTCTGCTCAGGATTCTTTTCCTCTGCCCCTCCCCTCACTCATGTGTGTGCTCGTTCTCTCTCTCTCTCTCTCCTGGAATAAATAAATAGATATTTAAAAGAGTGATTTTTAGGGGCGCCTGGGTGGTTCAGTGACCTGGCCTTCAGCTCAGGTCATGATCTCAGGGTCCTGGGATCGAGCCCCACATCGGGCTCTCTGCTCAGCAAGGAGCCTGCTTCCCACCTTTCTCTCTGCCTGCCTCTCTGCCTGCTCGTGATCTCTGTCAAGTAAATAAATAAAATCTTTTTTTAAAAAGTGATTTTTATGCTATGGGAATTAATCTCCATTTTTTTAAAAACAATGTAATAAAAACAATGTGTCAGAAGTAAAAGGCAAAGCAGACAATGTACCATTATACTTGGAGATTTCCCTCCCCCAGTCACCGATAGAACGAGCACACTGAAATGGATAAGGACGCAGAGCTGACCAACACAGGTCTGAGCCTGCTCTGGCAGCCATAGGGAGCAAAGAGCACGCAGCAGCTGCAGGGAAACGCGATCGCTGACGGAGCCCTGACTTGCAATCACACTACGGACCAGACCTTGTACTTCCCAAGCAACACCTGGGTTAATCCCTCTGTTCTCACACCCTCCCTTACCGATGAGGAGATGAAGGAACAGGAGGATTAGAGACGGTGAGCAGGTGGCCCGAAGTCATCAGCTTGCTGCTACGCTGTCTCCCGCGACTGAATTTCAGAGAAACTGGACTAGAAGCTTTATTCACGTGAACACGCCCCACGGTGCTGGAGTAACTGAGGTCTGATGCAGACCAAATAAACATTAACTGTTAATGACCTACTACATCAATAAATATACAGCCTGGGCACCTGTGGTACACAAGACACAGTGAGAGATTAAAAATATATACATATGTATACAGATAGCAACAATTTATTGTGCTCTTACTCGGGCTTGCAACTCAAAGTTGCGAGTACTTTAATCTTCACAATACCTGCCTCGGAGGTACACTTATCCTCATTCCACGCGCGAGGAATGACACCCAAGGCTGGGAAGGACGCTGCTCCAAGCGGCAGAAGCTGGATCTGAGTCCGTCTAGAATCCAAGCTCTGAGCCACTCCCTCCACTCCCCCAGTGAGACACTGCACCGCTCGCACTGCCTCCTCGCCTGTCCTCGGCACACAGCCTTAAAACGGAACTCACGTCCGTTTATGGATTCCGATGCTCACACAACCCTGGGAGGCAGGCAAGCCAGAGATCACAGGATTTTCTGAAAGAGGAAACCAAGGGGCAGATGCAAAGGAAGTATGTGGGGACACACCTGAATTCTCCGCCCACCAGGTGAGACCACAAGACACTCTGCAGAGGAAAAGGCAGGAAAGAACCCCTCCAGGCGGGTCTGTAAGTCAGCCTTGAACTGGAAGAACAGCTGTTCTGTTCTTACTTCTTCTTACTTACTTACTTCTTCTTACTTCTTACTGTTCTTACTTCTTACTTACACATTTTACTCTCTTAGGAGATTTGCCAGGGTTTTTATGGGAGGACAATAAACACAGGCTTCAACAGATCCCATTCCCAGTCCGCATCTCCTCTGTGGCAGGTGAGAAGGACCTCAATTGCCTGAGCACAGCTGCCCTCAGAGAAATGTGTATAATGGCCACCCTCCCAGGGTGGGTCTACGTCCATGATTTCTCTTCTCTGGCTCAGAGAAAGCAAACGGTCAGACTGGTCTCTTACACAGCAAGGCACCCACACGATTCATGTTCACCAGATCCACTTATAAAGGAGTCAATGGGCCCTTGGTCAGTGACGTAGCCAATGGTCATGCTTCTAGGAAGCAGCCTATCCGGGATGAGAATCCAGGTCTCCTGCTCGCTAAGCCCATGTTCTGTCCAAAGGCCCATCAGGTCTGGGCCACCTCAGTCATGCAAAGCTAGAGGACCTTCTACATGTAGATTAAAACATAACAGGCAAGGGCTAGACTGCAACAGAAGAAGTCAGAACTTTGGCTTTGGAAGGGTAATTAAGGATCATCCAACCTGTCCACTGTCTACCCATTTTTATAGAGATGGGTGAATTGAGGACAGCTAGAAATGTCAGTCAGAACCAGAACCTAGGTCAGTGCCAACCTCTTCATTCAATCAAATAGAGAGAACAATCTGCAAATGTTACTATGGAGATGACAAAGCACTCAATCCATGGGATCTTTTTCTTCCTTAGCAGGTCCGGACCATGCAAAAAAGCTATAAGGTGAGATCTTTGTCCTTCAGGAGCTTACTCTAGCTCGAAAAATACACATGCACATAGGAAAACAGAATAACCTAAAATCTCAACAAAGGCAGCAGCTACATTAAGAATTTAAAGGAGGCAGAGAAGCAGGGCATGCTCTATGTTGAAAGGCTTCCTGAAGGAGGGGTAAGTAACACTGGGCTTTGAAGCATGCATAGGCGTTCAAAAGACGCAACAGAATACAGGTATGTTAGTCCAGGAAAGAGTTTCAACTTAGCAATAAGTTTTGTGGGAGATGAAGCCAAAGCTACAGTTGAGGGCTGGGTCCTGGAGGCGGGGGAGCTTTTCCATGCCAGGGCAGGTCTTTGGATTTGGGCCTATGGACTAGTTGGTCTTCAAACTTACTCAGGAGCAGAGAACCTGGAAGCCCCCAAGCTCTTCATGGAATACCAAAAGTGACAGATCTGTGCTTCACTCTAGGACTGTGTTAGTGTCAGAAAACAGAGGACTGTGGCTCTAGGCCTGAAGGACAAACCCACAACCACAAGCATGCATGCCTTTAAACAAAACACACCCTCAAGTCAGACAGAATCGATCTTTTCCAAAGAGTTCCATCATCAGTCACATGCTTCTGGCTTCTTTCCTCTGTCCCCTGGACATCTGTAGCAAACAACACGGGACCATTGTTTTTCATAGAATACAGGGCAGGAGAAACTTGAAAGTGGAGAATATTCTGAGAACTGACTTCTTTCCTTCAGATTAGGAATCGTAGAGGGCCAAGGCAATGCTACCGAGAGCAGAGTCCTCTCCAAGGCTCAATTTCCCCATCTGACATGAAGTAGCTGAGGATGGGAGCATCATCGGAGACCGAGCTTTGGATGCATAGTTAACCCAGTGGGGACCCTCTTCACATTTCCTGGGCTCTCCAAACAATGAAAGGCCTGGGAGTGTGGCCTTCCGTCTACAGCACTAAGAGTACCAGCTTGGCAACCAGCAGCTTCTGGAAAGGCCATGGGTCAGCCTGGGATGTCAACAGGCCTTTCTGTGCAGAGTCCTGGAGCGAGCATGACACCCCTGCTGCTGACATGAGTGACACTCTTCAGAGTGCTTCTAGATGCTTCTCTCCTCACCTGGAGCTCGCCATCAGCCAGCTGGGGCTCCAAGCCTTCCGACGTCTCACCTTCGGTCTCACAGGAAGCCGGGTGCCTTCCTCCTTAGGTCACCTGGCCAGGAAAGGGCAGCACCCAGGGCCCAGGATATGGGCTTCTATGAGCTGGCAGGGGCAGGGAATCCTCGCAGAGTCTGTGTGTCGTGTCCCCACTGCCTGGGGGAGTTGCGAGGTCACCAGGAGCCGGATGTAGTAGCCACCAAAAACCGCCAGCAGCTGCTGGGCCATCTCCTGGAAGAGGCAGGGGAGCAGAGTGAGGGCCGCTGAGAAGCATCTAATGCACAAGGAGAAAGCCAAGTGGTCCTCACCGCCCCGGAGCAGCAGTGATGCTCACTGGGAAGAACCCTGTCAGGTCCTCACCTGCAGCTCTTAGGAGACGCCTGAAATGGTCTGGACCCCCAGCTCCACTACTCACCCCATGGGGTGCCTGCAGCCTCAGCTTCCTCACCTCTGAAATGGGTGAGCTCACTGCTCAGAGGCAGTAAGAATAGCCACAAAAAAGCTATGGAGCCTCAAAGCACTAAAGAAGTGACCGTTGGGGGCGCCTGGCTGGCTCAGTGGGTTAAAGCCTCTGCCTTAGGATCAGGTCATGATCCCAGGGTCCTGGGATCGAGCCCCGCATCGGGCTCTTTGCTCAGCAGGGAACCTGCTTCTCTTCCTCTCTCTCTCTCTCTGCCTGCCTCTGCCTACTTGTGATCTCTGTCTGTCAAATAAATAAATAAAATCTTTAAAATTAAAAAAAAAAGAAGAAGTGACTGCTGATTTATACCAACCAATCACACACACACGTGCACTGTTCCCAGCTTCAGATGACCGCGGGGCTACGAAGTGCACGAGGTCAAAGTGATGCATTTGAAGAAAATCATTAGCAAATGGGGGTGGGGAGAGGGACTCATCCTGACGATGGGAGGTCCTTCAATTCCTCCCAGGCACCTGCTGGGTTTCTTGGGACAAGCACTCCCACTGTGCTTAGAGTTTGCTTTTAAAAAGCAGAGATTTATCACAAGAAAGACAAATATTGTATCTATGAGTCTACTTATATGAAACAGGTAGTCGTCCATTCAGAGAGACAGAAGGTAGAATGTGCTTTCCAGGGGCTGGGGGAAGAGAAATGGGGGAGTCCATGTTTCCTGGGTATGCAGTTTCAGTCTGGGGAGATGAAAAGATTCCAGAGATGTTTGATGGGAATGCTCACACAACAAGGCAAATGTATGCAAATATATGCAAATGTACTCTGAATTGTACATTTAGGAACGGTTACGGTGGCAAATTTTCTATTATGTATATTTTACTGTGATAAAAAAAAAAGTAAAAAGAAAAAAAATTTTAATTGGATTTAACGCATGCTCTTATTAACACATTTGATCTCTAAAGTTCTATTTGTTGGACTGGCAGCTGGGACCCCACAGGAAATGCTCCGGTCCTGTCGGCCGGGCACTGAGCGTGTTTCACAATCCCTGAGTCCAGTGTGAAAGTAATAAAGTAAGGTGTGGGTCACAACAGGCTGTTCATGTCAAGGGAGTCAGAATTTCCGAATCAAAGTGGCCATTTCTGCCTGGTACCTTCTAACAGACCCTGACAAGTCATCTCCCCTTGCTGAGCCCTTTTCTTCAACAGTAGAAGAGAGAAAATCACACCATCTAGCTGGTCTAGCTGGAGGAAGGATTAAAGGAACTAATCGATAGAAATCCTCCCACCTCCTGCCTCGTGTTCAATGTCGCCAATATCACCATCATTATCACTATTCTAGAAAGCAGAAACTCCACCTCCTTCTGTAGGGTTGCTGGTTCCTTTAAGTCATCCCTGGTGTTAGAAAAATACTAAAAACCCCAAGGAGTCTACCACTCCCTAACTCAGACAGGTCTCCTGGCCAATCTTGTCTAAAATCAAGAGCATAAGAGGCAAAGAACTGTGGCAAGAAAATGGTACTTAGAATTCGCAAGGCTGGCTTCTGTTTGGGGCTTGGCTACCTTCTCCCTTGCTCTCTGACCTTGGGCAGGTCAGCCGACCTCTTGGAATCTTATTTCACCCAACCAGGAAGAAAGAAAAATAATCCATATCCGGGAGGGTACGTTGAAGGATTTTATGCATGATAAGAAAGAAATCTGTTAGGATGTAAGAGGTGATGATAACTACTTTTCTTTCACAGGGGCTGATTTATTATTGAAATATGACGGTCTGTCTGGCCCATGCTGAGACTCGGGCACTGATTATATTTTCCTTACCTAAGTTATAAGGGGAAGCTACTTTAAAAACATGTGCACACACACTTGATATTCATGACAGGATATCGTACTATCATTGCTTTGAATAAATTTGAAAAAATAATTTAAAAAACCCATCAGATTTAACAGGCTATGTCATATAAACCCAGGCATGCCACAGCAAAGTATATGACCTTATCAATCTTTTCTGTTCTTTAAAAAAAGTCGGGGGGGGTGCACCTGGGTGGTACCTGCCTTTGGCTCAGGTCATGATCCCAGGGTCCTGGGATCAAGTCCCACACTCCTGCTCTGCAGGAGTCTGCTTGTTGCTTTCCCTCTGACCCTCCCCACCACTCATGTGCTCGATCTCTCTCTCCCAAATAAATAAATAAAATCTTTTAAAAAATAAATTAAGTAAATAAAATGAAAGTTAAAGTCAGTGGGATTCAAGTGAAGAGATTAATATATTTATCACTTTCTCTTTTGAGGAGTCCCATTTGCTGGACGCCCTAGGGGCCCACCAAGGCAAAAGGGAAAGTCTGGGCTGGTTTGGGCCTTTAGTCCAAATCTATTGCCTGAAAAGGAAATGCAAGTGCATCCCTCCATCACAGAATGCCTGAGGGTACCCCTTGGTGTATGTTTCCCAGATAGTGTGTCTGTCCTCATGGAGGACATAAGCTAAAAAAAAAAAAAAAAATCAGATATCTGGTCTACCAACACTTGGTCATACCCAACAGAGTTGGGTGGCAGGACCTGACAGAACTCTGGGGCTGGGGGCACTGGAATTCAACAGAAATGCATATAAAATTTATATACCCGACTGCAATTTAAGTAGGTAGATGGATAGATGACAGACTGATTGAAAGACAGATTTTAAAAATGACCCAAATATTCATGAACACATTTATGGCTCGGTAGGCTATGACCCATCAACATGCAACTAGATATCCCATGGAACTACCAAAAAGAATATCCAAGGTATTTAGAAATGCGGGAAAAAGACAAAGAAGTAGAAAGTGATTCCTATAAACTATTTTTAAAGTGCTAGAGTAAGGGGGAAAAAAAAATACTGATAACTAGTAGGCTAGAAGATTTGTATGGCCCCTACCAACTCAGCGAAGTCATGTTCCCTGAGATTTACAATTTGAGGCCCCATACGGACTCCACACAGATACCCTGGGAGGGAAGGTGGCCTGAGCATCCCAGGTGGCCCCTACCTCCGGCTCAGCCTCAGGAACAAGCTGGCGAAGCTCAGTCTGCATGAGGGGCCGCTCCTCGGGATGAGGGCCGCCGGGCAGGAGAGGCGCTTCCTCCAGCAGGTTCTCAGGCCCCTCCCCTGTCTCAGGGCTCACCCCAGTTTCCATGACAACACACAGCTGGCTCAATCTGCTTCTCAGCAAGGACTGCAAAAGAGAGAGGGGATGTGGATGGTGTCCCAACGGGTGGTGTGTCGGAGGCTGAGTCGCTCCCTGTGCTGCAGACCCACAGAGGACAGATGGAGCCATGTACAGACTCAGGTGCTGACCTCAGGACAATCTGGAGCTGAGCCACATTCAAGAGGTCAGATAACCACCTACAAGATTCTCTACAGTCTCTACGAGCTTCCAAAACACTCTCCCTTCCATGCTCTCATTTGCTCTTCAAAGCAGCCTGGGTCATGGGTCCCTGCCAATGAGCAAAGCACAGCTCAAACGCCTTGCCCAAAACCATATAGGGATGAATGGGCTGGGATCAGGCTAAACCACAATCCTGACCTCAAGACTCAGGACAGCCCTTGCAGGGCCCAGGGAAAGGCTGATCCCAGGGAAGGAGCCCAGGACTCGGAGACAGGAGGGCTGTGCTCCAATCCTGAAGTCACCAACCGGCCCTGTGGCTGCCTTTGGTGGGGGCTGCAGGACTTGTCAGAGCTTCAGTGTCCTTGTGTGTGGGATCAGAGCAAGAGCACCGTGATCATAAATGGTAGAAGGCATTTCAAATACGGGAAAGTCATCTAAATACCTGGTATTTCCTTCTGCCAGAATCTTTATTATTTGTTATCTTTATATTAATTATTAATATAATTATGTTGTGAATAAATATATGCACACACTAGGAAATGTGGAAAATTCAATTAGTTGAAAAGGAGGCTAACTGAAATCTAGTTAAGAAGTAACAATTCCCGAGGCAGAAACGACCACTGATTCCATGTAGGCATTCTTCCTTCCAAGTAACGTTTCCTTAGACATTCATCTAACCTTAGGGAAATACAATCTGCACAATTTGGCCTCCAGGATTATTTTTGTTTTTAACTTACGGTATCTTACCTCCTGGCTTATCTTCATCTCTTGAATGTGGTCACACAAAAACTGCACACAGTCCTCCAGGTCGAAGTAGACAAACCAGAGCTGGGGAGAGAAGCCACAACAGCGGAGGCTCTGAGACAGACCGACCTTGAACTGCCCGACCTTGAACTCTCCGTCCCTGACACTATCCTCCACCTCCTGCCTCCTCACCCGCGGTCCATCCTTCTGTGGATGAGAAAATCTATTCCAGTCTCTGGTGGGACCGTGCCTCTCTGCTCTCTCCCAGAGTCTCATGTATAGCAGGGACTCCTTTGTACGGCTGGGAGAAAAAGGCCTCACATGGGCATTTGGAAAATGTCAAACCCTGTTCAAGATGGCCGCCACTCCATTTGCTCCAAGTCTCTGAGCACCCCAAGAGATGCCAGATCATCCTGGACATCGTGCATTCATCTGGGTCTACGCCCTTCATCCTTAGGGGCCGGGGTGCCCTGCTGTCTGGAGCCCCACAGGCAGATGAGTGAAACCCTCCAGTCACCCACCTCCATGGCTCAAGGGTCAAGGAAGGAGATCCAACCTGGGTGCTCTGGGAGGAGGGGAGTGGGGTAAATTTTTATCTACCATTACCTCTCCTTCCCCCTCAACCTCAACAGTCCCCAGAACCCAGAAGGTCAGGAGAAACGCATCCAGGCCCAAACCCTCCACATATACTCATTACACCTTGTTGGGTCCACCTTGGTCTCACATCACCACGGAAGTTCTGTGAGACACTGGTGGCCCACGCCTCCTGCCTCCAGCCACCCACCACTTCCTCTGGATCCCCGACCTCCCTCCTCCCAGTAACGGACCCATGAGACCCAGGGTCTCACCCCACCTTGCCGACTAGTCTCTCTCATTGTCTCGGCCCCAAGGGAAGCTTTGTAAAACAAATTTCTTTTTGGCTTTTTATTACGAAATCTTCCAAGCACATATAAAGTGGGGCAGATGACGTCATTGACTTCCAACTGCCCATGAGCTTGGGTCAGGGGCTCTCAGTTCATGGCTACTCTTGTTTCATCATGACTCACCCCTCAGACCATCCACACCCCTCCCCATCCCAGATACAGTGAACGAAAATCCAAGATACCCTATCAGCTCATCCTAAGACACTACTTTGAAACTGAAGTTGTTTTTTCAGTTATTTATTTTGACAGATAGCCCCAATTATTTTCAAGGATGTGCCTGTAGATTAGTCATCCATCCATCCATGTGTTCAGCTAACACATGCCAAGGCACTTCGGTGTGACAATCCATAAAAGGGATTCGGGAACAAATGAGACTCAAAGGACCCCCGGATTCCAGGAGCTCCCAGTCTATGACGTCACACTTGAATTACCAGAAATCTTGTGACATCATTGAGCTCAACACACACATGCATGCACACACACACACACACACACACACACACGGGGTCAGGCAAGATCCCCTTCTGCCCTAAACCATCTCAGGTGTGTTAGACCCCTAACACAGGGATCCGCACCTGTCTGTGCTCTGCTGCAGCCTCAGGACTTTAGAACAGGGCCTGGCACTTCGATAACTATTTGTAGGATGAGCAGGTCACGTGCACAAGGAGCTTGTTCCCAGGTCCCGCCCACACGCCCACCCCTGGGCTCCAAGCAGAAGAGGGAGGCCAGTGAGAACATGGATGTGGCACTGAGATCCAGCAATCCTACTAGGTAGAGGCCAGCCAGGGTCAGGAGACCTGGGCCCCAGCTATGCGCCAGACCCCCTGTGTGACCTCATACTTGTCACTTAAGATATTCCCAGGGCACCTGAACCAAAAAAATGACCAAGCCAGATGGACAAAGCCTCAGGGTCTGACCTGCCTCTCCAGGAACCTTGCGTGGGCCCCTGAGGGCTCGCCAAAGGGCCTGGCCCAGAGGAGGTCCCCTCTGTCACCTGAATAAATGCTGAATGAGGAGTGTGGCTTAGACGGTCTCCAAGCTTCCTTCCAGCCCTGCCCTGTGCAGCTTCTAGGCTGCGGGTCACCACCCAGAGATGGGTCTCTGGGAAGAAACACTGGAGCTGGGAGAAGGGGAAGGGCTGCCCACACTTGTCTCATTAGCAGACTCCAAGATACCACGCAGACGGGGGAATCCGGAGGCCCCCTCTCCCCATCAAGCCAGCCCTAACGCAGGTCTCCAAGCCAAGATCACTCTTTTTTTTTTTTCTAAAGATTTTATTTATTTATTTGACAGACAGAGATCACAAGTAGGCAGAGAGGCAGACAGAGAGAGAGAGAGAGAGGAGGAAGTAGGCTCCCTGCTGAGCAGAGACCCCGTGTGGAGCTTGATCCCAGGACCCTGGGATCATGACCTGAGCCGAAGGAAGAGGCTTTAAGCCACTGAGCCACCCGGGCGCCCCAAGCCGAGGTCACTCTTAGACACAGTACCTGAATCACGCTCTGGCAGCCTTCCACTGTGTCCGTCACCCCCAGCAGCACCCGGTGTCGCAGGAGGGCTCCATTGGCAGCTGCCAGCCTAAGGTCTGTGTTGTTGTTGGCCTATAAGACAAACAAGGGTCTCGTGGCCAGATCTCCACACTGCTGGGAATACTCACACTGTACTGCCTCTAGACACCATGGGGCAGTCCTGACCTTTGAGATCTATGCATCATGTCCCCTATAAAATGGGATCGTGGGGTTTGGGAGACAATAAATTCCATAGTGTCAGACAGCCCTGGGTTGAAGCCCAGCCCTGTTAATTCCCAGCTGTGTGGCCCTGGACAAGTTATGATCCTTCCCCAAGTCTTGCTTTCCTCAGTTGCAGAATAAGGAGAAAGAGTGTCCCTGACTCCTGGGAACGTGGTGAGCTTGAACTTGACTGTGTGTGAAGCACTTAACCCAGTGCCCGGGACACAGTCCAGTATGCTGACAGAGATATCTGCAGGGGGAGGGTGTGGGTGGGTTTGAAATCTGCTTATTTAATGTAAATAAAGCACCCACTTTCCAAAGCACTGAGCACTCGGAAGGAGACTCCAGGAATCCATCCCCTTCTTTCCTACCCAAACCAACCAGACACCATAGATCTAGTAGACTAAGTAGATGCTCACTAAACAGGCTACGGTGGGGAGGAGGGAGGAGGGAGAGGAAGAACGGTGTCAGGACCCAAAGTGCTGGTTTGAAGTAGAGACCCAATAAGGATTTAGAGACGCAACTAGATCATGACCCCATCATGGACAATCCAGGTCCCTAGGAGGGCAGGATTCCTGTAGGGAGCTTTTGAGAATGCAAAAAGGCCCTGTGGTTGTCACAGGGATGGGATGGGCAATGCTGGCATTTAGGGACAGGGGCAGGGATGCCTTCCACTGAAGGCCGTGGCCCGTGAGAGACAATCCCACACTCGGAAGAACAGTCTCCCACCCGACCTAGACTCCACATTCCCCACCGCATGTGAACACAGGTAAACCTACTTAACAATTCTGAGTGGCCAACCCAGCTCCATTTGACATGGAAACCTAGACTGTTTTTTATCTTTTAAATGGGTCTGAAATAGAGTGAATTTTCCAGGGATGCCACGACTATGAAAACATGGGGTTAGCACATTCTGTTTCGCCTGGAGACTTAGCAAGGGTTACGCACCCTTTCCGAAACCTGCACCTGCAGGAGTTCAGACCCTGACCCTGGCTCTGCTTCTCACCGCCTGATAACCTTGGCCTAATTACCCCCCACTTCTCTGCCTCCGTCTCCTCATCTCCAAAAGGGGAGAGAAACACCCTCGCAATAAGGATGAAATGAGCCAACCCACATAGAACGCCTGGGAAAATGAACACCCAATGCCCATCAGCTCCTCACATCAGTTTGATACTGATACTGAGTCGAAGATATCATTTTCCCCGGTCCCTTGTTGGCCACAACTTCCCACATGCTTTAGCAACGTGCTTTTACTCCGTCCGTGGTTCAAGGCAGGGTCTTGTAAGCCTTCACGGACCTTCCAACCCTGAGAAGGGCTCATGACACCCCAAACAAGGGGAAAACAAGGCAGTGTATGCAAAATGCTTGGGCTCTCAAGGATGCTACGGTACAAGCAGGACAGGAAGCAGGACAATGGTAGTCAGGAAGCAGGCGCTGAAAGGTCCAAGTGATGAGGGATCCGAGGAGGAAGAAATCCTCAAGCTGAGGCAAGAGCCAGAAGCCCGTGTGACCACAGACTGGGTACCGAGCCTCTCCGCGCAGTGGCTTCTCCACTGGCAAACAGAGTCAATAATCCTAACAGTTAGTACTTACTGAGTATTTCCATTATACCAGGCACGATTGTAAGTACTTGGCACATATTAAGTCATTTAATTTTCCCAAAAACTTGATGGGGAGCCACTTTTTTAAAAATATAAGTTCTACGCCCAAAGTGCGGTTTGAACTCACGACCATGAGATCAAGAGTCACATGCGCTACCAACTGAGCCAGCTGGGCACCCTGTGGGAGCTATGATTACTATCCTATTACACAGACAAAGAAACTAAGGCCCCAAAGGGTCAGTAACTTACCCCAGCTTGCAGAGATAGCCAACGGCAGAGGCAAATCTGCCTCCTTGTTTAGTTGGCAGCCATAGGTAGCAAGTGCCAAGCACAGAGCACATAGTAGGTGCTCATTAAATGATGGTCATTATTGGGAGTGAAAGAACCTCCTTGGGTTCCCTGAACGAGCAAACACGGATGACAGGAGGGCCACCGCACTCCCAGGGCCTCCATGTTGCCCCTCTGAGTAAAGACACAGGGTCCTCTTCATCTCGGTGCCATGAATACCAGCCGAACAAGGCAGGCACAGAAGAGGCCACAAAAAGGCCACTGAGGGCATTCTCTGAACTGCCTCCTTGAAGCCCCTGACAGGTACCACATAGCTCCCTTGCTCTGGCTAAGGCGGGATGCTTTACTTCTTCCCCTCGCCAAGAGAAGTTTCTCACTGCAGGCACAGCCAGTTTAATTTATTTTTTATATGCCCAGCACAAGAGCCATGAAAATTGCAACAGAGCCCAAGGGCAGCATCATTTCGTCAGCCTTGTTGCAAAGCCCAACAAAGATCTTTTCAGGATGATTAAGCCATAAAGTTCCTAGTTGTCCCTGTGAGCACAGGAACTAAACGTAATTCATACCCCGAACTCTGACCACACTCCCCAGCGTCCCTCTCCTCCCGAGTCAGGCAGGCACGGATCTCCGGTCCAACTCCATGCCGGGAGCCGGCGGAGCTTCTCAAGCAGCTGGAAAGGCAGTGGCGGTGTGACAGGCAGAGTGATGGCCCCCAGAGGTGCCTGAGTCCTATTCCCCAGAACGTGTGGCCAAATCACGTTACACAGCAAAAGCGAAATTGAGGTCATAGGTAGAAATAACGTTGCTAACTCGCTGACCTTAAAAAAGGGAAATTGTCCCAGATAATCTGGCAGCTCAATGTAATCACAAGAGGCCTTAAAAGTGGAAGAAGGAGCCCAAGGACTCAGAGTCAAAGATGTGGGGAGAGCTAGACCCACCATTTTGGGCTTTGAAGATGGACAAAGGAGTTATAAGCCAGAGAATGGAGGGGGGACTCCAGCAGCTGGAAGAGGCAGGAAGTACATTCTCCCCTAGAGGTTCCAGAAAGGACGAATCCCTCAAGTACAGAAGTCTAAGATAACACATTGTGTTGTTTTAAGCCACTGTGTTTCTGGTCATTGGAGATGGCAGCCATCTGCAGACCGCCAATGCCATAGGATACTGAGCAAGAACATGGCCTGGGATCTAAGTGCCCTGGCCTTCAATGCCAGCTTGGCCATTCTTAGCATCAAAGGGCTCGGTGAACCCAAAGTGCCCTCCTCCCCCACCCCAGATGCTCTCAAAACACAGCTTGCTTCCAGAAAAACAGCCCCCAGGGATTAGACAAGGAAAAACAGAGAGGAATTAATCACACATGTGATGTCATTTCTTTCACTCACTGGGCACAAGGGCCCGCATGAATTGTCATGGTTGGAGAAATTCTCCGAGGCAAGGAGAAGAGAAAGGTGGGAATTGGGATTCTCCTGCCGGCAAGCCCTTTCCAGAGGGAGCATGGCTGGGCTCTCCCGACAGCTCACCTTCTTCTGGTGTCTCTCGAAGATGAGCACGAGGGTCAGGGTCAGGCTCATGGCGGCCAGGGTCACGAGGAGCACACCCACCCAGTGGTTCCCCAGGGCAAACATCTGGCTAGTGGAGTAGATGTTGGCCCACACCACCACATAGAAAACCTGCGAGAAACCAGAGAAAGAGCACGATCAGGAGTACCGGTGGTCAAATGAAGCCGCTCCGTTCAAAGGGAGACACCTTTGGGACACATCCAACGCCCTCCTCAGAGACCAAGAGCTCACAGGGCCAGGAAGGGACAGATCGGGGTCTGTGAGGTGGAGCCCTTGTTCCTTGGTCCATAGCAACAGTAGAGGCAAGGAGTCAGGAAAGCTCCTCCGAATCCCAGAAGCAGGACGGGGTCTTGGGAGTGAGATAATTTGAGTCGGAAACCCACACTGATCCCTCAACCACTACGTGTGGCCTTGGACAAGTTATTAACAATGCTCTGGGGGCGCCTCGGTGGTTCAGTCAGTTAAGCATCTGCCTTCAGCTCAGGTCATGATCTTAGGGTCCTGGGATCGAGCCCCATCGGGGTCCCTGCTCAGCGGGAAGCCTGCTTCTCCCTTCCTTCTCCCACTGCTTGTGTTCCCTCTCTCGCTGTCTCTCTCTGTCAAATAAATAAAATCTTAAAAAAAAAAACAAAAAACAAAGAACAATGCTCTGAGCCTCAATCTCCTCATCTGTAAAATGGGGATAATACCTGTTTCACAGGTTGTTGTAAGGGTTCATCAGTCAATGTGTGGAACAGCCTAACACTTGTTAGAAAATGATCACATGCCAGGGGCCATTCCTTTCCCTTCCCTAGCAGCAGACATGGGAGTCAAGAGCACATAGTAGTGGCAGATCGGAGTGGTTAAGAGCACAGATGCTGAAATCAGACTGCCTGGGTTCAAATACTGGCTCTGCTCTTTGCACCTCTGTGTGTCTGTGTATGTGTGTCTGCAGCGCTATAGGCAGATAGGAGGTTTCTATGCACGTGTCTTCATGTGTAGACATACATGCACACATACATAGAGAGACTTCTACACACTCCTGTATATATGATCAGAGCTGAAATGGACCTATCAGCTAACAGATGGGGGAACCAAGTCCCAGGGAGAAGACAAGTCTTAACCAAAGCCAGACTCTGAATTCAAAGTCTCACTGGTGGGTCCTCAGATTGTCAGTCCCAAACTCTGGCCTCAGTAAGCTCGGCCTCCCATCCTTTACACGAGGATCTGGTTACGACTCTCTCCCACCGATTTCCTTACACCACATCCAGGTCTGTGTGTCCTGCCATACCTCAGGTAGCTGGACCACCAGCCCCAAGCCCCTTACCCACACCAGCAGGCTCTGGAACACAATGCCAAATTCAGCCACACCACAGGGCACCGCAGCAGGGTCAGCTTGCCGCCCCCCTCCCCCCTTACCACAGCGAAGGCCAGCCGCATGGGCCTGGAGTTGTAGATGATGTATCTTCTCACTTGGGGCTCCAAGAGGGCGCTTTCGGCCAAGCTCCTGTACTGGTCGGCAGGGACCTGCTTGGCCGTACGAGGGAGAGAGACCAATCAGCCACAGAGAACCACTCCCACCCTCTTCCTGCATGCAAGCAAGTCATTTCCAGTTCATGTGACTGTCAGGTGGAAAGGGGATCAGGCACAGTCCAGGCTGCCCCGGAAGGCAGAATGAGGAGCTCGGAGCACTCAGAATGGCAATCACAGGATGCTGCCCTCAGCTCAGGGAAGGCTGGGCGCCACTGGGGAGGTGGGGCAACTCGAGATCCAAGAGGACAGCCTGGGGGGATCCTGCAGCCCAAGGCTCAGGACCTCGCGGCAGACTCATGATAGCTTAGGTTAAGGCACAGACCCTGGAGTCAGGAGCCTGGGTCCGAAACTTGGCCCTTCTACTCATGGGCCACGTGACCTGGAGTAAGGAGCCCCACTTCTCTGAGCTTCAGGCTCCTCTTCTGCAAAATAAGGACAATAAGAATGACTACCTTGTGGGGGGGTTGCATATTAAGTAATATACCACATTTACAATGCTAATGTATGCTATAAATGTGCAAATACATAGGACCTTGGGGGGACCTTTGTTCTGCCTACTCCAGCAGTTATGTGCTACTTCAACAGGTGTGTGTATGCAGCCCACGTTACTGGAAACTGCCATCTTCCTGCCCCCCCGGCCCCTGAAAAGATGGCACAGCACACAAAGGCCCTAAAGAGTGGACTGCTTTGGGGTGCCTGGGTGGCTCAGTGGGTTAAAGCCTCTGCTTCGGCTCAGGTCATGATCCACGGGTCCTGGGATCGAGCCCCGCGTTGGGCTCTCTGCTCGGCAGGGAGCCTGCTTCCTCCTCTCTCTACCTGCCTCTCTGCCTACTTGTGATCTCTGTCTGTGAAATAAATAAATAAAATCTTAAAAAAAAAAAAAAGTGGACTGCTTAAGAAAACAGAACTTAACCATTAAAGATGATATTTAGAAACATGGTAGAATAATTATACATAAACTGTTCCCCAGTTAAGAAAACCCCATCTGGGAGGCAGCTGGGTGGCTCAGTCATTGGGTGTCTGCCTTCGGCTCAGGTCATGGTCCCAACGTCCTGGAATCCAGCCCTGCATTGGGCTCCTGGCTCGGTGGGGGACCTGCTTCCCCCTCTCCCATTCCCCCTGCTTTTTGCTCCCTCTCACATCTCTCTCTGTCAAATAAATGAAGAAAATCTTTAAAAAAAAAAAAGAAAGAAAGAAAGAAAAAGAAAGAAAGAAAGAAAGAAAGAAAGAAAAGAAAAGAAAAGAAAAGAAAAGAAAAGAAAAGAAAAAATAAACAAAAAGAAAACCCCATCTACAGACAACGGTTTAAGAAAAACGTTCTTTTGGACAAAGGCTGGAAGGGACTAGGGGGTGATCAACCAGCCACTGTTGCTGGTTTGCGGTTAGTACCGTCAATTGGAAAGTTTCCCTTTAGGTGATAAGATGTTATTGAAACACAAATGCAGTTCAGTTCGAAAGAAGTAAACTTTCAAATCTTCAGGGTCAAATTAACAGTGTATCTTTCCCCTCCACAAGCAGTCCTCCCTAGGTGGTGCAGGGGAGGGTCTAGTGACCAGGAAGACAGACACCACACCTTGGGCTACTTTGTAACAACAGCGACACCTACAATGTACAGAACATGTACTACGTGCCAGAGACAGTGCAACTATCCCTCAAGCAGTATTTTCCTTCCTCTTCACTAAAACCCTATGTAATAGGGATGAATATGGCCCTCGTGTTATAAAGGATGGAACAGCCGCTCAGAGAGGTTAAGTCACCTGCTGAAAGTCACACAGGCAGGAAGCAGAAGAGCTGGATCTGCACCCAGACCTACGGGTCTGAGAAGCCTATGTCTCAAATCACTATGCTTGAAAGCACAGCATTACCATCTAATGAGTTCAGGCAACTTTCTTTTGAATAGACACCACCCCCAATAGACAATGCAATAGACAGTTCCCTCTCCAGAAATGCCCTTCCTCCTGTCTACCCAGCAAACTCCTCTATTTTTCCTTCAAGACCCCAGATCAAGTATCTGTTCCTCCGTGATGCTTTCCGAACCAGGGCTCCCCCAGATGAGTTCATCATTTTCTCCTGTGAATGGCTTCAGCACCTTGGATGGTCCTCTGCCTGGCACGGGACAGATCCCGCTGTCCTGGTTTAACCGGCGCGAGGCCATCTCCTGCGCTGGGCTCCATGAGCAGTGCAAGCACAGGCGTGAGGTCCTGGTCACCCCCATGGTACCCAGCGCCCAGCTCAGTGCCTGGCAAAGGATGGATGCCGCAAAACACGTATCCCTTAAGTGAGGTATCGGGGAGGAGGGGACCCTTCTCATACATATTCCTTAGCTGCCCCATCCTATGGAGCACAGAGTCAGTGTTGAGCGAATATTTTGTGAACAACTGGCTGAAAGGACAGATGGACGGGCAGACAGATGGGAGGAGAAAAGAAAGGGAAAATGGCAGAGGCTCTCAAGAAAAGCAGCACTCACCTGAATGCCCCAGGTCTGCAGCTGCTCCTCGGCGGCGCCCAGATCGAAGGAGATGGGTGCACAGGTGTTGTCGATCCGGAGAACCGTGAGGACCTGGCCATTGTGGAGCTCTGAAAGCAGACCAGAAGCTTCACCTGGCTGGGTGAGAACTACTGTGCACGAGCCCAGAGCCTGATGGCATCACCTCCTCTGGCCGTGAGGTCCATGGCAAGGAGGGACATCATGGCGGTCCCCGAGTCCCTCTGTGAGAAGCACTGAACTTGAGAGGAGACCCCTACAAAGGTAGAACTGGGACCAGAGCGTGGAGGCAATTCAGACATAAGGCAGACCACAGAAGGAAGAACTTACCAAGAATGGGAGCTGTCCACACAAAGAATTGGAGATAGTGAGCTCCCCATCATGAAAGAGACTTAAACAGAGACTGAACAACTAACTACTGAAGAAGGTGACGTATCAGACATTTATATGATCACCGCAAAGGAAGTCCACCCCAATATGACACCGCCCAGTGGGCTCCACCTGACTGAGGCAGGCAGAACAAGGAGCCCCCAAAGATGTCCCCGCTGTACTCCCCAGAGCCTGTGAAATATGTTCCCTCACACGGCAAAGGAGAATGAAGGTTACAGATGGAGTTACGGTTGCTAATCAGCTGGCCTGAAATAGGGAGATCCTCCTGGACTGTCTGGGTGAGCCCGATGTCATCACAAGCCTCTTTAAAAATGGAAGAGGAAGGCTGTGGTGGAAAGGTCAGGAGGGGTGTGATGGGGAGAAGAAATGCACAGAGATGGAACACCACTGGTCTGTAGGTGGAGGAAGGTTCACGGGCTGAGGAGCTGTGCAGATTCTAGAAGCTAGAACAGGAAACAGGCTATCCCCGGGGCTCCTGAAGGAGAGCAGCCTTGCCGACACGCCTACCCCAGGCCTGTGGCTCGGCAACGCCAGTGGCACTTCCAACTTCCAGAACCATAAGAAGATGGATCTGTGTTTTGCGAGCCACTCTGTGGCGGCAAAAACCCACTCTGGGGATCCAGCACCACAGAACTAATTTACTGGTAACCCGTCCCCAGGGTGTCTGCAACTCACTCAACATTCCCAAAGCACCGACTGAATTCAGTCTGACCTCAAGGAACACATCACACATTAGTCCAGCCTGGTCGCAAGAGCTATCTACACTCTCCCGCAGGACGGCGAGGATGGCAAGGGGGCCAGCGGCGAAGACGCCAGACCAACGAGGTCAGCTGGGGCGAAAGCTCTGGACTGAAACCCCCTCAGGCCCACGGAGGACTGGCCATGGAATGAAGCCACATCTACCTTCCACCACAGCACGAGGCCCCGAGAGCCGCCCACCAGGTCAGCAGCCATGGGGCCTGGGAATGCCACTATTCGGCCATGCAAGGCTGGGGACTGGATCTGCTGGCATGTTTTCTGTGGGCACGGCTCAGAAGATAAAGCAGCACAGAAGAGCGCAAGCCATAAGTATGTTAGCTGCCCGCCCAAATCTGTCACCTCAGAGGCTAGCTCTGGGCAATCCCTGAGTCTTCAGAGCCAAATGACTAGTCCTACCTTCCTGGGAATTCCTGGCCCATGCACGCTCTCTACTCTTTCACGAGGCCCCTCTCTGGGCCCTGCCAGCTGGGCCAACAGAACACCTCTTGGCACGTCCAACACAAGCCTGGGCCGGGCTACCTTCACTCTCCGTTGTGCCCTGTGGCGGCCTCCTCCTTGGTGTCTCTACACCCACTCCTCCAGCCTACAATATACTCTCCACACAATGGCCACCCTGTGAACTGGAAGACATCAGTCCTCTAAGGAAAACTTTCAGTAGCTTTTTGGTGCTCTACGGACAAAAACCAACCTCCTCAACACACTCTCCCAACCCTTAAGGGAAACAACCTCCTGCTAAACTCACCTCAGGCCAGTCAGTTCTGTCACAACACACCAGCCTCCTTTGTTCTTGGAACACGGAGTGTTCTCTCCCGCCCCAGGGCCTTTGCATATGCTGTTCCCTTTCCCTAGAACACTTACATTGGACTTCACACAGTTAAATCCTACTCATCATGGGCATCCCAACTCACTAGCCACTTCCTCAGGGAGTCTGCCCCGACACTATCCTTACCAGATCAAGTCCTGCTAAACCTACTCAGAACGGCTCTTCTCATCAAGGATAAGTACATATATTTGCAATTATTTGCTTACATGTTTATTTAATTAGTTGAGTAAAGTCTATCTTCCCCACCAGACTATGTACTCCCACGCTGGTTCTGCTCATCACTGAATCCCGAGCTGGGTTCGGTACTTACATACAGTAGGCAATAAATAAATGTTTGATGTATAAACGAATTGACAGGACAGAACTCTGGTCCCCAACCCCAACAGGGTTCTTTTTTTTAATGTTCTGGGGTATCGCCTATGAGCTCTAGGGTGACAGGATATTCGACCCCGGCCAAAAAGAACCTTACTTGCTTTCCTCGTCTTTTTTTTTCCCAAGATCTTTGCAGGAGGTGAGGGTTGTGGAGGCAAGGTGGCAAGGTGGGGGAAGCAAAAGCTAGAGAGCTTTAGGATTCAAAGTGTGGCCCAGCCTCTTGCTCACAGAGGAGCCTTGAAGCAGTGACCTAAATCCCTGGCCAGATTCCTCACTTGGAGGGGGGTCATATCCTCCTCAGAGGGCTTTACAGAGAAGTAAGAGGATGAAAATAAAGGCCTGGCACAACATAACTGGCCACTATTGTTGCCCATTCAAAAGCAAGCTTGTCGGGACTCAAAATTTGTCATAAAGCAAACACACACACACCTCCCCCCCGCCCCCAAATGGATTTAGTTGTATTTCTCCTGAACCTCCAACCCCTGCTCCAGAAAGGATTTAAGGTGACTTCGTAGAGGTAAAATGGGACGAGATAAAATTATAAAATTAGATTTAAAAATAAGCAAATGAGAGAAACTGGACAAAAAGGAAATAAAGGCTGTAAGAAGACAGAATCAGATGAAGTAAGACCAGCTTCCAGATGTCGAGCCCACACCTGGCACTGGGCTTGGCCTTCAGGGTCCCAATCTCATCCCATCCTCTGAGAGCCGCCAAAGATGGAAACCATTACCATGGAAAAGGGAACAGAGCCTCTGATGAACAGACCTGCCCAAAGTTACCAGGGAAATGAAAGTGAGAAAGGGAAGCAGCTAGATCCAAGGCAGTGCCCAAAAGGCAGGCAGGCAGGCCAGGCAGGACCACAGACTAGCCCTGCATCTCACAGCACAGAAGAGAAAACCCACACGGACCAGGGCAGCAGGCCTACGCAACATCAGCTGCGCCCCCAGCCTGGCTCTATGCACCCTGAGGACAGCGCCTGGCCCAGCAATGCCAAGACTTCTTGCAGTGTCTTTGTTTGCCTTTTGAACCAAGTTCCTGGATTCTTAGCAATAATCTCTCTCATCTGTTCCTTAGAGTGGGAACAGCAAGTCTCCACTTAGAGATACTTTTTTTTTTACACCTAGATAAGAACAAGAACTTGAAAAGCTACCAAAGAAGTAGGCACTTGCACAAGTGTGCACGCATATGGGGGTGGGGGGGGGCAGGGCAGGGAGCAATTTCCTCCAAAGGAGCTCCTTTGCCAAAAACCAGTGGAGCGATGTCTTCCAAGTTCTAAAGGAAGGTTATTTCACCCCATTTCATTCTACTGTTGTGTGTGCATGTGTGTGTGCATGTGTGTGTGTGCATGTGGGTGTGTAAACTGCTTTCCCAATACCAGTAGTAGTAAAAGAAACCCTGGGTGGCTCAGTCATTAGGCATCTATCTTTGGCTCATGTCATGATCCCAGGGTCCTGGGATGAAGCCCCACATCTGGCTCCCTGCTCAGTAGGGAGCCTGCTTCTCCCTCTGCCACTCTCCCTGCTTGTGTTCCCTCTCACACTTGTCTCTCACTCTCTCTCTGTCAAATAAATAAATAAAATCTTTTTTTAAAAAAAGAAAAAGAAACCCTTGTTTTTAAGAAGTTTTAAATCATCTGAGTAAACTAACCAGCCACAATTCACAATGCCTACACCTAGCCGTCCACTCATTCTGCTCACTCAACAAAATACTTACTGAGCACCTACAATGGGCCAAGCCTGTGCTAGGTACTATAGACGCAGGGATGGGCAAGACAACTCAGAGCCCCTGCCCTCATGGAGTTGACATTCTAGTGGGGAAGTTGGACACTTTATGACACAGGTTATTACTTAATTACAGACTAGGATAAGCACTATAGGGAGCAACAGGAATATAACAGGGAGTCCTGACTTAGGATTCCCCATGGAAGGGATATCTGAACTGAGCTCTGAAGCAGGACTAGAAATTAATCAGAGGAAAGGAGGCAAGAAAAGAGCATAACAACCAGAAGGAAGAGCAGATGCAAAGGCCCTGAGGCAGGACTGCATGCCAGGAACGGAGAACAGGGGCAGCAAGAACCACTAACACAGGACTTGCAAGCTGGTGATGGACAGATCTTCACACTAAGTCCTGTGGGAAACACTGAAGCAGAAAGTGACAGGGTCTGTTCTGCATTTTTAAAAGGGCTCTCTAAAGGCCACATAAATGAAAGAGGCAAGGAGGAGAGATCAGCTAGGAAGATACGGTGGCAGAGGTCCAAGCAGAAGGTGATGGAGACTTGGTCTCCAAGATGAGGATAGACAGAATGGGTAGAAATGACAGACTGGCCTGTAAATGCATCCCAAAATGTCCACCCCTAGCTAAAGGTCCTTCTCTACTCTCTACTGCTCTCTACTCCCCTCCCTTCCATCATGATATGTGAGTCCATCTCCTGCAGCCTGGGAGAGGGGGAGGGGAAAAAGGGTCATGACCTTACCTTGGCTCCAGCCTGGAGGACTCCCTCCAGGCAAGGCACTCCAGCCAGGGGAGGAGGCCGGCAATGGGCTGGCTGCCCCGCTGGGGCCCATCTGTGGTTCACAGGCCATAGCAGAGAGCCAGCTGGGCTCTACTTCCCCTTCTTGGAGCTGTGGTTCATTCTGGAGCAGCCAACGCAGCTTCACTTGCCTTCAGAAAACAGCACAAGAAAGAACTTCAGGGCTGGGCAGGCTGGGCTCCTTGGCCTCTCCAAGGCCAAAGTCATCCCAAGGCCAGAGAGAGCCACCAAGAGTCATTCCCCTTTCTAATCATGCTGAGGGGCATTCTCAGGAGTGAAGAGAAAGAAATAAAACCCTCCTCCAAGGGAGAACTGAAAACTTCCCTCTGGTCTTGAGTCTTCTCCAGCTCAGACACAACCAGGCACTTACCAGGAGCTTATGACCTGAGCATGCCCTACTCCCAGGCATCTGGGATTTCTGTTCCCTTACTGAGAGCACCCAGGCACCCCAGGCAGCCAGGCACAGGACCAATATATCCATCATGGAAAGCCTTGTTTATTCAAAGGATCTCAAATAGCTTCCCAGAAGTCACCACAAAATACAAATGAAAAAAAAAAAAAAAATCAGGATGGCAGGAAACAGTTTACAAAAAATAATAGTAATAACAACCATGAAGAACAAAAAATACCCACATATTCAGGTGATCAGGGTCCCTAGCAGAGGCAACAGAAGTCTGTGCTGAAGAGCATGGGCTCCAGGTTCAGACTAATCAATGTAAACAACACTTACACCATCTACTAGTTTCCTAAACTTGGGCAAGTGGTGTAGCCTCCAAGAGATTTAGCTCCCTATCCTTAAACACTGGTATCTTCCCCACAAGGCTGCTCCGAAGAATCATATATACATATATTATATATATATGGCATAGACAAGGGCATCTGGAACAAAGGAGCCATCCCACAACTACTAGTTCTCATTGGTGGTGTTTCGAGGTTTGGTGCAATTGCCATGCCTGAGCCAAGAACTTGGGTTTGAGCTTCCAGGTGGCCAAAGCTAAAAGAGAAATACTGTCAGTCGAGCAGTAGCAGTTCCCATTCTCTATAAGGAGACAAGAAACAGGACAGTGAGGAAAGCAATGCATCCTCCTGGCATCTAGCTCCGAGAGATCTGGGAAATGCTTTTTCCAAAGCCCTGGGAGCTGGGTCAGGGACAGCACAGTGGCGTGATCATGAGCCTAAGGCACTTTTATCAGTAAAGCAGAAATGTCCTTCATGGGGATTTTCCTGACACCAAAGCAGAGTTTACAATGCCACACACTGTGGCTGGAGCCTGCCCGCTCATTGTTTCAGCTATGTGTCCACTTGGGACCCTGAGAATTACCCATCACCAAGGAAAACCAGGCCTGAGTCCCTGGGTTGACACACCGGCCTGGCTAACCGTCTTGGTCAAAAGTCCAGCAGAATTGGGTTTTGTTGCCATGGTTCCTGACACTGGTGAAAATAAGTATCCAGTCAACCCACGTCTGCTTGGTTCCAAGCTGGCCCAAGGGCTGACCGCCATGGCGCAGGTCCCCTAAAAAGGGGAGCCTGCCTCCCATACCCCCCAACCGCCCTACATTTCTCTGTCTTTTAAAAAGGACCAGCTACATAATTTGTGGGGTCCAGTGCATAATGAAAATGTGGGGTCCCTGGTTTAAAAATGACAAGTTCAAGATGGTTCAAGATGGTGACAGCAGAACATTCCACCAGAGAAGGGGGCAACTTCCTACACAGGGACCTGTGTGACCCACCAGGCTACAGGCACCTAGAGCCAGCTGTGACTTTAAGCTCTCAGAAGATCAATTGGGAGCCCCCTCCACCAACCAAGAATATAAAAAATGAACCACTGACTAACAAGTATCACACACTTGCCCTGTACCAGGCTGAGGCCAAAAAGCAACAAAATGTTACAAAAAAACAAGGACTTGAACACCAAAGAGCCTGGGTCTGAATCCCGGCTCAGCCACTCACTCTGTGCAAGGTATTTACTTCCTCTCTGAGACTTGCTGTCCTCCCCTGTAACCAGGCTTCAGGGAATCCCACCCAGCCCAGCTGCCCAGGAATGACATCCAGGACTCTGTTCACTCAACAGGCCTCTTGCCTAAGAAGGAGAGAAAACTGAGAGGCAAAGATGTAAAGAAACCTGCCCACAGTGGAGTGGCTGGAAGCTATACGGCCCAGAGGGGAACCTAGGCCATCTGACTCCAGAGTCCAAGCCCATAATTCCTAGGCTCTGAGCCTCAGGACCCAGGCTTGGCTGTCTCTGAATCTGTTCTTTAATTCACTGAAAGAAAGAAAGAAAGAAAGAAAGAAAGAAAGAAAGAAAGAAAGAAGAAAAAGAAAAAAAGGTGGTGATTGGGGCAAACTTCTACAGGCTTCTGAGATTGCATCTTCCCCCCTCACCAGCCCCCCTACCTGCAGCAGGCATTCCCAAACACCACAGAGCATTAACCAGTCAATTGCACCACCCCTCACTTCCTTCCTCTTAGTTTGCAAACCGCACCCCCCCCCCCCCCCCAAGAAGCCTAAAAGCAACAACAACAGCCCGAGGAAGTGAGCCCAGCATTGACAATCTCAACAATCTCTGAAGCCCTTCTCTGACTCCTCTGGTCACCTCCTGGGCCCACCAGGCAAACAGAATCCTTGGGCCCATTTCCCAGACAAGAAAACTCACTTTTCCCAGACATCTCAGGGATGTCAGAGCTAACAGCCTGCAGCCCACAGAAGCTGCACTGGAGTCTTAGAAAGTCCTGTGGGACCCAGCAGCCCACCCTCCCTCCTCCAGGCAGGAGGAACCACCCACAGGCTGGAGCTGTCCAGAGAGCCCCCCACCCCCACCCCTGGAAGGTTTCCCATAGTTGCAAAATCCCACAAGGAGGCACTGCCTTTGAGGAGAAATCCCAGCACCCCAGCTGGCCCAATTAGCCTCCTGCAAAGTCTCAATCAGAATTCATTCATTCATCTGAAATAAGGAGTAATAGTTAAATAATAGTTTAAAAGTACCCCTAGGGTCCTGCCATTTCCCACCTGTGTCACCTGGAACGTGTCACTTAACTCTCTCTGCCTCAGTTTCATTTTTGTGAAAGGGGATAATATGGTAACTGAGGCTAAAGGAGTTCAGGCACGTACATCACTCAGAGCAGTACAGATAGGAATTCGAATCTCATTTGATAGGAAATCAGAGCAAGGGCAAATAGGAATCGCCCAAGGAATACAGCCGTCACTATTTTTACTCCACAAACACTCCCTAAGAAACTTGAGGTGTCAGGCCCTGTGCTATCTCAACTCAAACACCAAAAATGGAAGCTAAAGTCCTCGGTTAGCCTTCCCTTGCCGAGAATCCCAACTGGTGGGAAAGATGAACTCAGAGAGGGGCACCTGGGTGGCTCAGTGGGTTAAAGCCTCTGCCTTCAGCTCAGGTCATGATCTCAGGGTCCTGGGATCTCTCTGCCTGCCCCTCTGCCTACTTGTGATCTCACTCTCTCTCTCTGTCAAATAAATAAATAAATAATAAAATAAATAAATAAAATAAAAAGATGAACTCAGAGAAAGAGAAAAAAGAGACAATGACCAAACAAGGCAGTCAGAGAGAGCGGGCAGTAGCTTGGGGTGGGAGAAAGGTTTTGCAAAGGTGGAGGTGAGAGAAGGGACTGCCAAGCAGAGACAGGTACAGACTAGAGGCCAGGATGGGCCCAATGAGGGCCCTCTGCACTCACCCTACAGCCTCTGGTCCAGCCTGGAAGCTGTAGACGGGGAAAGGGGGGCTGGCAAACACCAGCCTTGGGCACATGTGGACCCATCACCTTCCTGTGTGTCCTGGGCCTGCCGTTCTGCTTGGCCCTGCACCATCCCTAGGCGGACTGGGGAGACAGAGCCAGACACCAGGGCGGAGGCAGAGCCAGCAAGTGAACACAGCCTCGAGGCTTCTGCAACTAACTGGTCATCCACTCCCCGGTTTCCTTAGTTTCCTTTGCTGATTCTGCATTTTAACCAGACCTTCCAGTCATGCTTCTTTTTTAATTAGCTGGTGAGCCCCTGCAAAGGAAGATATCCTTAAGTCCCTGAGCAAAGGTCTCCATTTCTGGAGACAGAATGCCGGGTCTCCCTAGGAACCGTGTGCCTCCCTGGGATGGACGTGCGAGAGAGAGCGAGAAATAGCTTACAGTTTTCACAGATCAGGTTTTGTTTTTGTTAAATTGGAAAGCCCCAACAAAAGGCCGTAAGAGGGCCTGTCACAGAAGTTTTGGGGTGGAAAAGCCTTGAAAGACAATAGGTCCTAGGTCTCCATTTTGCAGATGAGGAAAGTAAGACCCAGAAATGAAAGTGAACTATCCAAGGTCAAAGAGCCAGCCCAGGATGGAGTCTGAGCGGTACAGGGTTCACTGGGATCGGGATGTGCTGCCACACCTGGCCCTGGCCTTGGCCTTGGGCAGCTGTCTCACCCGGATCTCTGCCTTCAAGTCCTCTCCCGGGTCGGCTGCCCGGGTCTCTCCTTCTCCCCGGAAATCCCCGCCCCCAGCCCGGGCTCCGGGCCCCTAGGAGCCGCCGCAGAGCAGCTCCCACGCCCGACACGCGCGGGAACGCGGCCCCAGGAGGCCGGAGAGCCCGGCCTCGCCCGCGCCGCGGACCCCAGGCCGGGAGAGGACGCCCAAGCGGCCGCGTCGCTCCAATCTGGGCTCGCAGCCACCCGGGCCCGCGCAGCCACCCGGGCGCGCGCCCCGAGCCGCGCACACTCACCGCCGCGCCGCCGCCGCCGCCGCCCGGGGACGCGGAAGGTCACGGCCGCCGCAGCCCCTCCGCGCCGCAGCCTCCGGCGCCCGCGCCCGCCCCGCCTGCCGCGCTCCCGGGTCCCGCCCCCGGCCGGGCCGCCTCGCGCCGTCACCCCACCGGGAGGGGCCGCCCGCCGGGCTGCCGGGGCCCAGAGGGAAACCGGCTCCCTTGCATCAGCCGGGCGCCCGCCGGGAAGCGCCTCCGGGCCCGCCAACCGCGTGCGCGCTTCTGGGCCCGCGGGTCCCGCGGCCGCCCCTCCGGAGCCTCCGCACCTGGGGTCTCCCGCCGGTCTAACGCAGGCGGGGCACCCGGCGGATGAGGCGGTCTGGGGACCAGAAACTTCTCGGGGGCTTGCTCTCGAAGGAAAAATCCTAGCCGCATCACGATGAAGAGCATCTGCCGGGGGATCGGGCTGCCTGAGCTCCAAGCCGGTTCCGCCCGCTTTCTAGATCCTCCCCGGCCAAGCAGCTCGCCTCGGGGTGTCTTCGTGTTCTGGACACAACAGATCGTTTCACGGGCCTGTGTAAAACTCTCATGAGACAGTCTGTATGCAGCGTTCACAGCCCCAGACACAGGAGCGCGGCTCCCTCGGCACTGGCCGCCGCCCCCACCCGTACCGCTCGGGCTCCGAGAGGTCTGCAGTGAGAGGTGCCCCCCGCCAGCCGCGCCCCGGGAAAGCACTGACCTTGTGGCATCACGTCGTGACGGAACACTCCGCTCTGCCTCCCTTCTCGGGGGCCCATAAACCTCCAAATATTGCAGGAAGGCTCCCTCTTTCCCGGAGGACACATGGGGGTTCCCGCTGGCTCCCTGGCCTTGCTAGGATGGTCACCACAGGGCTGCGGACATGCCACAGCCTGCATTTCTACAAGTGGACTTGCTGAGTCAGAATGCATGCATTTTTAATTTCAACAGATGTTGCCAGATTGCTGGGGGCCTCTGAGGCCACAAGACTTAGTTGGCTGTGGCCCGGCCAGAGGCAGAGGTGAAGTGCTGGGGCCAGAGAGCAGGGATTGAGGACCAGAGCCGCAGATGCTGTCCAGGCGAGTGAGGATCCAGACAGCAGGTAGCTAGAGATGAAGTTCATTCGTTTATTCGGCAACAGAGGACACTGGGTGTCTGCTAAGTGTCTGGCATTGTACCAAGCAGCAGTGAACACGGTACACAAGATTCCTACTTAGTTTGCCTAATTTCCTAAAACACGATTTGGGGGTGTGGGAGTGAGAGCCAGTGGGATATTGGAGCTTTCCTAACTGCTGATGCGACCTTGAAAGGGATCTTGTGACAGGTGTGTGGCCCGGTCAGCACCCATCCAAATCCTGCCTCTCCCGCAAGGCCCACCTCCTGCCCAAGGCCAGAGAGCATACTCCTGCCTCTTCTGCCAGGTGACCTTGACTCCGCATTCTCACTGTATGTCACTCCAGCATGAACTCTCATGTGGACCCGTCCGTCTCCTGTGCTGGGGAGGCACAGCAGATGTGGGCCTTTGGAACTGGCTCTCCAGGCCCCCGCACTAACCAACACATGAATGTGCACAGGCGGGCTCACCCCTCCAAGCTTTGGTTCCCTCCTTTCTGGAAGGGGAACGGTATCTGCTCAGCTGAGAGATGGTAAGACTTAGAAGATGCAGCGCCTACAGGGAAGGCTTCCGTGGAAGTGAGCGGCATCCTTGGCCAGCCAGGCAAAGCGCCTCTCGCCTTTCTGGAACGTCAGCACGCGGTGAGTCCTGGCACCAGGGCACGAGGCAGTAGGGGCCCCACACAAAGAGAGAGAGGTGAAGAAAATCCAGGCAAAGGTGAGTAAAACCCAGTCAAGTTCTCTGGGGAGCAGGCTTCAGTGGCACTGTCCGGACAGATTCACAAGGCTCTATGTGGTGAGCCCAAGCCCGTCCCCACCCCAGCCTACCCTGGACTGTTTACCCGCTCTGCCCCCAACCCCAGAAACCCCTAAGTTCCAAGAACACAGAGCACTTCTCAGTTCCTCCTAAACCCCATGCCCTCTCTCACTTCCATTTCTCGCAGTTGCGATTCCTCTCCACCTGGAAAGTAGCCCCAAACCCCGTTCCACCTCAACACCTGACGATGGACCCATTCTCAGGTCTCAGGTGAAAGGGTACTTCTTCTGGGAACCGCGTTCCTGTCCGGACCCCAGCCAGTCACCCCCTCCCCACTTTCTCCTTGTTTAACCCACAGACACACCGAGCATGTGATGTGGTCATTGTTCAACGCCCCCTTCCCCAGAAAAGAAGAAACCTTTGGCACCTACGGTCCCAACTGTCCCCCGGCCCCCTGCCCTCAGGATGTGCCACGGGCATCTGAAATAGTGAATGGAATCGTCAGGCCTTCAGCTGCAGGTAAATCCAAGTAACCACAAGCTCCTGCCAGAGCCACCGTTACTCAGCAGTTGCAACATCTGTTCTGTCGTGTTTGCAGGGGTTACAGACACAGGACTGAGGGCTGGCTACCGACTCCCTGCCACCCTGAAGTGAGAAGGAATGTGGCTCTTCCCCACCTGGCGGTGTGGTCTTCAGGTGTGGCGGCAGATGGGCCATGGGGGGCCTCAGAACCACTGGGTGAGCGAGTAAAAAAAGCCCAGAAATTAGATCTTAGGCTGCATGTTCTAGAGTCACCGACTTCCTGACTCTCTTAGAAACATACCACTTAAGATGTTGCCGTGGCCTGAATAGTTTGAACAACATCACACAGAGATTCAGGTCGGGAAGCCAGGCAGACCCAGGTTCAAATCCAGACTATGCCACTAATTGGCTCTGTGACCTTGGGCAAGTGATTTTACTGCTTCGCACCTCAGTTTCCTAATGTGTAAAGGGGAATCATACCTACCTCAAGAGACAGTGGGAAAATTCAATGTGTATGTAAAATGCCTGGAATGCTTGCTGATATAAAACTGATGTTAGTAAATGCAAGCTATTTTTAAAATTATTTCCAAAGCCCACCCGACAGAATTTTCGTTGGAGAGCGACTCCATTACGTTGACTTGAAATCCTGGCTGCCCCACTGCGCGGTGAGCTCTCCACGACGAGATCTACACAATATAGGTCACCAGCACGTGGGTGCTTAGAACTAAACACACAGCTGTCCTTGTCAGAAGGTGTGCGGGCAGTAAGACAAGTCACGTGCTGTTGTTGGGAAACTGGGTCGAAAACCAGAAAAAAAAAAAAACAAAAAAAACAACTCTGAATTCCTGTCAGGAAGGCCTGGGTGTCAGGCATCTGTTTCTACACAGCACAGGAAAGCAAGAGCCATGGACAGGTACAAAGAGAATAAAAGAGGGAGAGCACGCATCTGGCTGGGAGGGGGTGGGGAACAATTAAAAGTATTTGGGCTTTTAACTAGAGATTTCCACCCTATGGTCTTTACCTTCGAAAACTGCACAACAGTAGCCAACCTAGTCGTGTACTTGGAACAACCAGCCTGGCTTCGCCCCTAATCTTATCTTCAGCTGCTGCCACATGTTCCAGAATGCTGCCACTCTTCCCTTTGTAAGTTACTTTCAAGTAGGAGAAGGGGGTGGGGGGCCTGTGTGCCCCTGGCCCTCCAAGCCCACCCATCCCCCTCACTCATCCCCTCCAAACACAGTGAGCTATGGCCTTGAACTGACATTTGACCTGCCAGCCAGTGTCCTTTGAAGTTTTTCAAAAGCCAGAGATGATAGATGTTGACATGACCTGGCAGCTTCCTCTCCCAGAACTGCTGGCCAACTCTTTCAGTCAAGACCGCGCCTCTCCTGCTCTTCAGAGCAGCCTCCAGGGGAAGGGGAGTGGGAGGGAGCAAAACTGGAATTGCCTGCCTGAGTGGAAGCTCTTTGGGTAATTTCAGAGCCACTGAAGTGGTAGATCAGTTGAGAGGAGAAGAACACTCTGAGACCTGCCAGATTGTCCTTGAAGGGGAGAGAAAAATAGGAGAGGCCAAAGATGGAAGAGCAAGCCAGACTCGTCAGAGCACGTCCTTCTCACCAAGCAGCTTCCATTGACTTCTGGCACCATCGGTCTCCTGGCATAGAAGACCAAATGTGCCGAGAACGTCGGCTGTGGCCCTAGGAGGCTGAGGCCTCCGACCACTAGTCCTCAGAAAAGGCTGCAGGCAGAGCAGGGAAGGTTTTCCTTTGCAGCCTTCAGGCTGATCTGATTGGACTTGCTGCCCACTCTGCCACTTCTCTGCTCTGTGACCTTGAGCATGATAGAAGCCTCTCTGGGCCTCAGCTTTCCCATGCCCGGAAGTGGGATCACACACTTGAACTGCAGGGGCGCTCTATGTTGACCGAAGCGCCTAGAAGCCAGGCTCCCTCCCTTGAACCACGCAGAGGTTCCATGTATGGCCTCTGACAAACAGCATCACCTTTCAGAAACTCAGGGGTTTTTTCCTGCCCATGAAGTGGGAATGGTACATCTTCAGAGAATTTGTAGGTATTACACACAAGGTCTTCTAGAAGCCATTTTATGCCTTCTACCAAGAACTTAAGTAGGTCTGAGCACTGGCACTCAACAGAACGGCCAGAGTTTCCGTGCTTGTAATGGGCAGTGCTGAGGGCGTCCTGCTTTGTAGACTCTGGGTTCATGTGACACGAAATTGCCCAGAGGAGGGGCGCCTGGCTGACTTGGTCTGTGAAGCACGATCTCTTGATTTCACGGTCGTGATTTCAAGCCCCACGCTGGGCAGGAAGCCTACTTAAAATTTAGAAAAAAAAGAAGTTGCCCCGAGGAGCAATTAATCTGGGATGTGAGAGATGTCAAGGGAAAAGGACCACACGGGTGAGAAGCATAAAA